GGGGGGGAGTACGAAGGTTCCATCCCCCCCCCCCCAAACGCCACACAATTTCCTATATAAACATGTCTATAGTAAATCCTATATATAAAGTGGGCACATTTCATGCAAGGGGGTACAGTAGTACGTAGTACAATCCACGTAGTAGCCCCTGTGCTCCAAAGTACCGCAGCCCGCAGCCGCGGTACCGTCCGTAGCAGAGGAGCGAGGGAGAGCGAGAGCTTGGGGAGAGTGGTCACCATGAGCACAGTCTCCGTGGGGAGGGGATTCCTATCAACAACCCCCTTCGACAAGACGGCTTGGCTAAACCGCGTCTGCCGAGAGCGAGCGGATGGCATGGAGCGGACACAACTTCGGCGACGGTTCAGGAGTCGACGAGGGCACCGCCTTGCAGCATGAGGCTTCACACAAGCACGAAGAGTAAGTGTAGAGGAATGAGGACCATTTTGTGAGATTGCCTTGGTTGCATTATAGTATAATCTGCCTCGCAGCAGCAGCAGCAGCAGCAGCAGCAGCAATAGTAAGAACAACACACACACACAACAACCCACACCAAGGTTGGACGCAACCAAGAGTGCGCGAATGCGGAGCCCTCGCGATGCAACTGCCGTCGTCGTGTTATACACACCAAACATGGTTGTACTGCTGCCCGTGTAGCTGGCAGCGGCAGCTGCGTTTGTGTTGTGCTGCTTCCCATGTATCTGGAAGCAGCAGTAGCGGGAGCCTCAACAGCAGAGGCAGAAGCCGCAGCGTTAGCTGAGCAGCATGACAACTTGTGACAACGTTTGAGAAACAAAATGCGCGAAATGCAGACCGGCACCACCCACAAGGCTGTGTGCCACGGGGATATTCGTGCCTCTGCAGAAGAACTGGCCTTTACATTGGTGTCCCCTGCCCTTGCCTGTCACTTTCCGCACGCCCATCGCATGCGAGCAGATCGCGTTCGCCTGTTGCGAAAATCGCCCAGAAGAATTGCAGTGGCAACTGGGTTTGCATCACGTGCCAGCACTATTTCGGCTCCGGTGAAGGGCTGACCCAGTTTCATGTGAACCAGCACGAGAGGTCGACCGCACACATGTGAGGGCGATGGCGGTCGGTGTCCGCAGTTGCATCCTCGAGTAATTTGGACTGCTCACTTGTGCTTACCAACATTTCAAGACCTCGCAAGACCCGTTACTTTGTCTATCCTCGCCGCACGCATGTCGCGCAAAGTATCAATGCGTGCATGCAGCTTTGTGGATGTGTGCGAATGTGTCGCCTACTACGCAACTTGGCACAGCATGTACAGTAGAACGATTAGATCATTATTCCGTCACTCAGCGGCGGATCAATCAATATTTATTCACATCCGCAGGCGTGGTGCTGAAGCTAAGCGTGAGAGGAGTACAATGATGAGGTTTTCTAAACCGACGATCACTACGGGCGGCGGGAAGGGGTCGAGGGACGTGATGGATAGCAGCGGTGGCGCAAGCAGTGACGATGAGGTGGTTACGACGGGAGTTGCAGGCGGGCGTGAGGGCGGAGCAGGCGCGGGTAGCGACGCTGAGGTGGTTGCGACGGGAGTTGCAGGCGGGGGTGGAGGCGGAGCGGGCGCAAGCAGTGACGTTGAGGTGCTCTCGACGGGAGTTGCAGGCAGGCGTGAGGGCGGTACGGGCACGGGTAGCGACGGTGAGGTGGTTGCGACGGGAGTTGTGAACGGGCGTGAGGGTTGTGAGGGCGCGAGCAGCGAAATGGATGGAACTTTCTCCGACGCTGCACACGAGAGTGGTTCGACCGATATGGTGCGCGTCCAAAACCCCCTCCGCTGCGCGGGATTGCGTCCGAATGTTCGGGAGCCTCTTCTCCAACACTACCCAGCAGCTTTGCATGGTGTCGTCAAAAAGGGGCTGTCGTGGGAGGCTCGGATAGACCCGAATGGCGTGGCTCTTTACGCCGTGGAATCCGTCTCCCGCGGCATCCCGAGCCCAGGTTATGCTGGAGCAGTGGAAGAACCAGGAGGCACGTGCGAGCCGTGTGTTGACATCAAGGGTATTAAGGTTTACAGAGGTGAGACCACGTAGCGAAAAAAACGCGAAATAGGAAGGCACAACTAGGAAGGCAAAACAATTTAACTGTCGTGACTACCCTCACTCCACCACACATGTACTTTTTTTTACTTGGATTGTTCCCTCTGCGCCCCTTCCGTCTTGGAGCAGATCTGGTTCAACGATCATCGTTGGAGCCAGAAGACTCAAGGTTGAAGCACCTTGCTCTAGATTTGTTGACTCCTCACCAGCACCGAGGCAGGCTTGACGCGGTGGAAGAAGAAGTTCGAAGTGCAGAAACTGTACACTTTGAACAAACTCAGGAAGTGCGCGGCTTTGCATGGTCGTGTTGCACTCGCGAAGAGTATCTTCATTTACATGGCAGACAATGACGTGAATGGCATTCGAAGGTTGATGGCTCAAGCGAGCCGAGACGGCTTGTCGCTGAGTGGTATCATGCATAGGTTAGAGCTGGCGGTGAATGGCAAGTATAGTGCCGAAGGGTTCAGCGAGGATGAGTTTGACTTGGCAATACTGGAGGGGCTTCGGGGAGTGAAGAATAAGTACCATCCAAGACAAATTGCTATTATTTGTGGATGGGTGTTGCACGTGGCGAAGGTGATTCCACCGCCGTAGGCTCATCGACAGCCCCTCTTCGGTATGTTGCCGGCTTGAGTAAGCTTGGAGTGATGACGTTTCGACGCATGGGTATGTGTCATTTGGTTGTGTCCTTTCGCCACATTCGACCGAGGTCAAATAAATGTCGTGGACTTGTCGCAGAGGCTTGGAGAAGTTCTAAGTTACTTGTAGCTGAGGGGTTATCCCCAAGCACTACTGCTGTACTTCAAGACTTGAAAACCAAATAAGAAGTGTCCCCAGCCCATCACAGCTTATTTTAGTACATGAAATAGCAATCTACACCTTCCTAGTAACAAGGTCCTGCTTGCACGTCGTGCCGTAAACACCACCACACGCAAGCACACGCAATGGAGAAATGAAAGCCAAAAGAAAGCCTGTACGAAAATATTCCCAAAAAAACATTTCACACCCCTCGGGGGGGGGGGGGGGGGGGGGGTAGGGGTAGGTGTCGGATAATTTTTTTTTGTGCGCCCTTGGTATCCGGAGTATATATACCGTATGGTACATCACACAGCTGTACTGCACGTATGTTGGCGAGTGTCAATATTGTCTTGATTGCACATACATGACGGAGGTCCGCGGTTGACATAACACACCCCCTGGACCGATTTTCAAAGCTCGATTTATCATATCAACAACAAAAAGAGTCGCAGCGCCGAAAGCGGCGGCGTTGAAGCCGTCTGGTCGAGAGCTCTCCGAAAACGTATCGTTTCGTTTATCATCTTGGTGGTGGAGTAATCGATCGGTCCAGAGTTAGTTGTGTTATCTTGTGTCGTACAGGGTATACTTGCATGTGTTTGCCAGTTTGCACAGACGATACTGCGAGCCTCTAGCCGTGTCGGGGTTTGCCACATTTTCGGGCAACCAACTTGTAAGCGGACGATAAAGTTTGGACTACAATACACTAGAGTTCTGCTTGACACCTGTCGGAAAGACTCCGCCGTCTTTCGGTGTTCCGATCGGCGATCCGCCTCGACTTACAATGCTTTACTGAAGGTCCTCTCCCTTTCTTTTTGCTCGTGGCCAGCTTCAAGCTCAAAACAGCCCAAGACAGGGACTCCATAATGATACAGTAGACCGATTCGGACTGGAAAAATGCCCAGAATTCATCTTTGAGAAACCAGAAAATTTAGCCCCCCTTCCCTGGAACGGTCCTGATAGTCCCGCCTTCTCTCTGGAAAATAGCGTTCCGATATAAAAGTTAACAACTTTTGGAGGCGCTTGTTCCAGGAAATTCATATATTCTTGGTCTCAGAAACCTTTCAGAAGGATCTCCGGTACGACCAGTCAGAGGTGCTGGACAAACCACATCGTGTGGATCCACACAACACCGCTCACTAACTACCTAAGTGTGTGACTGCGGTCTCGCACTGTTCGCTCGCGTCACTTAGCCTCGTGGCCCAGTCGAGGGTACGCATCTACCTGTTCCTCGATGTCTCCGCCCATGCAAGACGAGCGTGCACAACGATTGGGGGACGTTGAAACGAAGACGGCGCTCGTGCAATGTATGTACATGTATGAACTTACGGACGACGTGTTGCGGTTCCAGGCTTCTACATTGTACTAAAGGAGGTTTGGTTTGTATTTACAAGGCTCCCACGGCAAGGAGAGAAGTTGAGCGGCCTACATGAAACGAGGCGCTTGTCAGCCGCGGTCCCAATTCCAAGGGATACAGCGGAGGGGTGCTGTGATCATGCCACCCAGCAAGTGGGGGGGGGGGGGTTGCAAGCGCCACATGTATTTACGAGGTGTTCGCTTCGAAAGCGGTTCGGAGACCTCTGCGTGACAGGCATTCCCAACTTGCAGGAGTTTCCAAACCTTGTGCGAGAGAAGGCCCCGCCGGCGACGGGTTAGGAAGTCCTGACTCAACCTCTAGAAAGACAAAAAGGTATCGTAACCTTGCTCAGATACATCCGACAGTTGAGAACAAGTTCCACATTAACCCTACAACATCCGAATACGCTCTGAATCGAGCACGGGGCTCGGTTAAGACTGGTCTGTTCATGCTTCAGCTAACCGCCGCTTGTCGAGCAAAAAACTCCATCTTCCCTCGCCGGTCTCGATTCTCCTCTGAAACTTGCACTCACTCCCGTGGAAAACTATCTTCAACTTTTTCCAAGAAATTTCTGCGTCGTGCTTCTCTTGTCCTTCTGCTGTCCACGCTGAGGCACTCCTCGACGCTTCGGTACAATCCCCGAAAGGGAGATAGGTGAGGGCTGGGCGCGGAATGGGCCCCTCGAGTGACGAGACGACATGCGTTTCTTGCTGGCCAGGTTTCGTCGGCCAGCCTTCTTGTGCTTGAATGGCGAACTCGCACGGGTATGGGCTGGTGAACACTCCTTGGATCGGATACGCTTGAAAGAGGGGGTGCCATAGACGCCGTTGCGTGGGTGCTCGATGTTGAGGTTGTAAGCCGTCCGGTCTAGATCGTCCGCATCCGTGGGCTGTAGGAGACTGCAGACGTCCACCTCCAGCCCTCTCTCCACGCACGCAACCCTGACGCACGGAATATCCACAAGGGTGAAAATACTTTACTCGCCCATGCGATAAAAAAACTCTAGAACACGAATACCTACATTTTCGCAGATTTGTTTTTGAATTTTCCTCTCTTCTCGTCACTCAAAAGCACTCGGACGAGCAAGGTTGCAGCAACAGCTCACCCCCTATTCCACTCATTCTGCAGTCGTGACTGGCTATCGATGTCGAGCTCGTTGCCAAGGTCAAGCGCGCAGCGCCCATCGTACGTCTTGAAGGCATCTTCGACGCTCGTGCGCCACCCCTGACGCGATGTTGACGGGAACGGGATGGTCACGAAAGAGAACAAGAAGTATTCGCTGCTATGAATGTTACATGCCTCTCTGAAACGGGAAGTCGAAAGAAACTGACACTTTGGGTTTCGCCCCAACAATGCGGGTGTGGAGCACCCGAAGTTGCAATGACACAAGCGCTAATGGTGAGCCTGTTGTGTTTTTTCGAACGAAAGTTGTAAAGTTCACCGAGCACATCGCCCCACAAGTATGGTGTCTAGCTGGTGTCTAGCACTCACCGGTGTCTGGCCTTTCCAGACGGCTTTGGGCAAGACCATCGCCGGCCGCAACGAAGCCACCTAAAAGAACACAGCGGTACAGAGGAACGTCGGCGGTTTGACGGTTACATATGAACTCGAGTTTTTCACACATATCAGCATCTAAGTTTTCGGGCAGGTTGGGGACATAATCTGCCTCTAGATTAATGTGGGTGTCAAGTCAGAGCTCAAGCGACACAAGACGACACAACCCGGTAGAACGAACAGAAGCGACAGACCTGGCTGTGATGATTGAACGTCCGCCCAACGTAGCCACGTCGTTTGTGCGCATAGTAGCGGAAATATCCCAAGATAATATCGACGATCAGGAGATCAGACCAGCCCAATACTTGCCGACAGCGCGTCGACGATTCCGGTGGCAACGATGACGCATCGCCGTGACAGTCTCCGTCCTCCGCTGCGGATGATCTCCCATTGGTTGAGCCGCTTTCAAACGTGTCCCCGTTGTGATATTTCGCTTCCTCGTCTTGGATTCCTGTGCTGCCTTCTTCTGGTCTGGTCTTGACCGCAGCCATAACTCCGCCGGTCCCTTTCGCTGCCGGTGAGCGTCGATCGGAAACATCCTTCTGTCCAATCTCCGCCGACCGTATTCCGAAAGAGGAAGAAACACCAAGCTGTGGTGAATTGAGCACCTCTGAGCCAATCACTACGACGTCTGACTCCCAGCCGATCACTTCTTCCTCTCCATCTCCGTGTTCCTCGACCTCTTCTCCTTCCTCTTCATCCTCTTGCTCTTGCTCTGCCTCTTCCACTTCCTCCTCGTCTTCCTCCTCTTCCTCTTCACATGCCTCTTGCTTATTGGATCGGGGGTCCAGCTTCTTGCGCACGTTTCTCTCCAGTACGTTTGTTTTCATGACGAGGTCAACCTCGGCGGGCATATTCACTGCGTCAACATGTTTGAAAAAGTGATAGTCGACGCCATCCACGAACGTTCCCTTGCTCGGCCTGTTGTAGGCGTGGAGTTTCCTAGACCCAAGTCTACCGTAAGCTTGATCTGGGGTAGACGTCTTCCCGTGGTCCTGCCCACATCCAGACGGGTGAAGCGGGGGGGGGAGACCAAATATAGAATAGCGTGTCGGAGTTTTTAGCCAACACTCAACTTGGCCAAGTCGTCGTGACGTAATTCCAACGGTAGACTCGCAGCTTTTTGGTGCAACCCCTCTATTTCGAACATTCCATAACGAACGGTCGACAAATTGAACGAGGGTGGAGTAAGAGTAGTGGAGAAACTTAGAGCACGAACTGAAACTATTGTAAACCTGGACATCAGTAGATCATAGTGACTTGAACCAACTCGAGGATCAACATGGATTGCGTGCTGATGAATCAACAAACACATTCCTTATCGCTGAGCGACTAGGCCCGAATTGCCAAGCATGTACCCTATACGCCCCCGCAAAACGACATCGTGCTTGCCCACACAAAACCACTGAAATATAGGACTATTTTCAAACAGCCACTCAAAGGGTTTACACTCGCCCCTCACCGGTAAAATCGAGGGTACGTACCCCGCGGCTGCGAGGTAGTGGAGGGCTAATACGGTATGGGAGTAGAAGCCCAGCGCGCCCTGTCGCAACACCAAGTGCAAGGTTGTTAGTTCAGATTCCATCCTGATCTACCTCGTCTCCCTCGTTCTACCTTCGACCCTCCTCTTGGGTAGCATGGTCTGGATGGGAGCTAATGCCAACGTGCGGCGTACCTTCTGAAACATGACATACAACACGGTTTAAACGTTGTACGGACGATTGTGAAAAATCGTTTCCCTGTCAAGAAGCCGACGTTGCCAACCCCAAACCACCATCACCGCCAGTAGTACAATTGGGGCGTCGCTCAAAGGAGAGTGTTCCCGCATGCATATCCACCCGCCTTGCAGTTTCATCGAACCACTGTTGGACAATTTCATGAACGAGAAAACTTCACAAGAACACAAACTATTGAAATAACTTGAAGGTGAGGCTCTTGTTAATTCTCTCAAAAATCGTGGGAAGGTATACCGACAGACGCCAAGCACCTGTTGGGAACAAACACCGCGGCATCCTCCCCACAGCCGAATGAAGCGCAAGAAGTATTCCACACGGGGGTCCTGGAGGTGCAACAAACCCAAACGTTCAACCAAAACATGGGCCCGTCGTGTGTTCTCGTGTGTCAATATGTCGACATGCGTGTTGATGGCAGTATAGGCACAACTCTCACTCTTCGTGTTGTACCGTCAAACATTGAGGAGGACTGGAGATTGCATGTCGACGATTTTCTGCAGCACCTTGTTGCAAACACCTGTCGTAAGCAAACCTTCCGCCAGGCAAGCACGACATATTTCGATCATTTTCTGCGCAACAGACATCAGACGAGTCCTCTTCCACGACCTAACCAGCTAATGGCAGCAAGACCTGCGACAAACTTCAGCATGAATATCAAAAAAAAAATGTGGGATGCTCTTCGTCAATGCAATGCTTCGAACTGGCTATTTAGCACACCATGTCTTAAGGCCTGTTACGTACCACTTCATGATCCAAGCAACAGAGGTATTTAGACTCTCGTCGCTAGTGGCAGCCCACGAATGGAGGTAGAGCATATCCTAACGTAGGCAGGCGAGCGAGCCACTCAATAACTGGGACTAACAAACGAAGAGAACACTCGACGAGTCTCTTCCGAACGCCAGACACAGCATTCGTATCTCCACCCACCATGTCAACGTAGGTTCTGACAAATCGTGAAGTGAAGACGGCGTGATGGTTGTTGATGTCGATCCTTACTGGGACAGGTTTATTGTCGATGGTGCGTAGGTGCGGGTGAGTCAACATCGCGAACGGAGTGGGTCCCTCTCTTTGCACCTCCAGTATCTGCCAGTACCCATGAGAAAACGATAGGGATATCGTGCAAACAGATGGCGCGGGACACTCGTGAATAAACGCCTATTTAGACGAGTTTAATCGGCAGCAGTACATGTGAACGCGCTCCACGCACGTCGAGGAATGAAAGTCGTGGTGTGACAATCGTCGCTCACCACCCAAAACTACTCCTCTCCCTTACCAATGGTTTTGATCCTTAGGTTTAGTATCGGATGAATAACTTGACCGGCATCTGGTGAACGGGCTTCGTGACCCTATTGATCCTTCAGCAGAGTAAAATTTCGAACATCGTCACCATTTGAGAGCTTATCTCCATGGGTTACAACAGCCACGACGAAGAGTCAGGGCTTTTCTTCAGACATCCCAAACTAATTCCTAGTTCTGCTTCTTCATTGAAGCACGCCTCAATTTCTTGAGTAGCGAAACATGAAAAAAGCGAATACAATAACTCTCAGCATCCGGTTATTGTTATTCCTAAGCCACTTACCTCGAAGCCGCATCGTTTTGCTTCCTGCGCAACGCGATAGGTCAGCTCTCCCACATCCTTTTGATACTTGTATGAAAGGTTCGCGATGGCGTTCGTAAGTTTGTCGTGCCTATCCACTAAGTGTTCCTGCTTGCGTAGCAGTAACGGCCAAGGGTATGCACCATGCCGGAAAACAGGGGAAACGAAAGGAATAGGCAGAAGCTATGGTTTAGAGTTGTTCCTGTTGTCAATGAAGAAGGTTCGAACTTGAGCAGCAAAGCATTGACCATCCCATGAGAGTGGACAACGATTGATGGCGATGTGCTTGCCTCTATATCCAGTCATTTCTTCGGGACGAGCGGGATCACTCTGAGGGTGCCAAAGGCACCAACGGTGCATATAGGTGGCGGTAGCTGTAGGTCAAACAACGTTTATGACGGCTTGATTTTGGGCGTAACACCGGGTATCAAGTTGTAAGACGGTGGGTTGATTCAGAGCAAGAAACCTGAGAGAACGTCTGTTTTGGCCCCAAGAGGTTGACTTCGGATCGGGGACACCTGGGGTTTCCTCAAAAACGAAATGTGGAGATGGAAGCATATTGTAAAGCGCTTAAAACACAGGTGATCCTGACGCTCCCGATGAACAATCATGCGTGCTGCTGTAGCCGTTCTATACACACTGCGCTTCACATCGGGGTTGTCAACAGACCTTATTGGATGGAACGTTGTCCTCCCACGCCGCTATGGCCTTGCACGCCTTTAGCTTTCTCGTGGTTGCCGCTGACAAGTCCCTCGTGACATCCACCAACCTTCTAGATCGCACCGACGCTGCCTCTTTGAATTCCTCGAGCTGCACCCCACTCAACGACCACTTCTGCTTGTGAGGGGAGAAATGCGCAACAACCCTTGAGTACCCGTTCTTGAGTACACGGTCGGTAGAGGTATTCTGAAGTAGAATGCCGCAACAACGACAGACTTCGCACGACGAACACGGAAGGTGTGCTTTCGGCGTCGATCAAGATTCACCAAGCCCACTAATCTAGCCTAGTCTACGGACGTCTTTTCGGTGTTGAACATAGTGTGGAGAGGCACGCGCGACAGAACGGGAACGAAATGTGTGTTGACTTAGGTGCTGGATAGCTCGAAGAAAGCGTGATAATGTGAACCAGGCAGCCTTGGGGAATGATGCAATCGTCTACAACGTCCATACCGTACAAGAGACTTGCACAACATCCTATTCGGTATACCATAATGCGTGCGTAATATTCCTTTCTAACCTTGCAAAAGTATCAAGCAACGTAGCGCAATGAGTGGCGGTGGAAAACGAAGACGTCAGCGGTACCTCTGGAAACTTGAACTTGACTCCGTCGCGCTTCACATCGCGAGCGGCCTCATCTCTGGCCTTTTCTAGGCGCCCAATGTCATCGCACCGAGCTTGCCACCTGAAGCAAGCGAAGCGATAATAAAAGGGAGCATTGTTCACCCATTAATCTTACATCATTCGTCACTGACAAAGACGGCGCAGAATACTGCCCCGAGGTCATGTACGAACTACGTTGAACCATCGTAAGGAACAACTGAACTTGGTGGACGATAGCTCGGAGAGGCACCTAAATGTCCAGAATTACGGGCCACCGAGAGCACCTACAAACAGTCGGTATCCCATTTCAGGAAGAGCTAGGCGTCTTCGAGGTATAAAGCACTACCGTATTCTACACAAGAAAACAAACATTGTTGGTCTTCCGTAAATAGCATCACCAGGGGAGCTATTCTGTGGGAAGGGAAGGATGGTCGGTTACCCTATTCCTTGACCTGAGAGTATTTCTGATTGGTGGGGTCATGTTGAGTCGCAAACATGTTATCACTGTGAGGCGGTGTTCGTCGGGGGTGGTAACTTGACTAATGTGGGTGTGCCATTTATATTGATCATGGAAGCATCCTGGTACAACGCAATATTATAGCGACGAAACGTGAATTTCGGACGTACCGATCTAACCACCATCTGCGGTTCAATGTGCACTTTGACAAACTGCCGTTCTTCTGCCCACGTCTACAGCACCCACTCACCTGTTGTGCAACACGTGAATTTCTGTCAGAATCGGCCGGAGCTCCGGATGGTCTACCTTTAGTTGCGCTTCTTGTTTCTGACGGGTTTTTTCAGGTGGGAACAGCACGCAACGCGTCGTAATACGTATATCTCGTTCAAATATCAAGAAAACGGATGTTCCCGAGAAAGATGACAGCGCGCATCGCTATCCTGCGTGGATCATGGCACCGTGAAATGTAGATCGATTGTACTGCTTGTGGTAGATGCCCCGTAGGTTGTATGGCCAAGTCTAGGTGACGACCACTTACCTTGCTTGAAAGCAATCGTGGATAAACAACACTTGAAATGGGCATCCTTCTTGCCGCCGTTCATGTGGAGGCGGTCATGATGTAGTGGGAACTCAGCAGATGCACCGCCCCTGCTGAACTGATCAAAGCCAAGGCATTTGTCGCGCTATTTCCTCCAACTCTTCAAGTTTACTAGTGGGTAATATGTAACCGCCTCGGCAAAACCATTCCGAGAATTCTAAGTCCAAACATCGATCGTGACAAGCGCCATTGTGGTTTCACAGGTCAGAATTGTGTTGAGGGGCTCTAGGACAGTGGCAGATCGAGACGTTTCTGAACAAAGCGAGGTGAAAACAGACGTATTAGTGCATACCTTCGCATCGATCATGTCGAAAAAACTGCTCGGCTGAAGGAGGACGGTGAAGTTGACATCGCTAGCACGGGTTGCTAATTTTGCTGCCCAGGACCCACAAAGGCGGACCTTGGCCGACGAAAGCACGCCATCGTGGGGGGTTGCTCTGGCATTTCTCGCGGCATCAAAAGGATCGCAGCGGTTTCCAAAGAAGGAGCGGGAAACAACGGCCAAGACGGAAAGGTCAATACGACTTGCCCCAACGAAATGTCTCTCGCGTGTGAGCCAAACGCCGTCTCGGGATGGAGGCAGTTCTGAGAAGAGTCGCAAGATTGGAAAAATCGGACCAGCTTTCACACATTGTCGAAAGGCGTTTGTTGTCGTTCAAGGTCGAATAGGTAACCGCACGTCAGCCCGATCGTTTCAATCGATGGCCACAGGTGTAGGAGTCATTTGCGTCCAAAGTCTTCTCGACCCTTCTGGCGCATACTGTGCTTCCCCGACCTTTGACTAAAAGAGAGAAAAAGAGAAACGGCCACGAGGAATACAAGACCTAAAGCAAAGACAAACAACATTAACCAATGGGAACCGGGGGTAGCATTGCCGCTGACAAGTGAAAGAAAATAACAGCACAAGCGACAGAAAGCGGCATGCAGAGGGGTAACATCAGTATGGAAAGCTGCAGTACATTGATAAATAGTGGGATGCACAAGCTCATGTTGACCCGATCGAGTCCAGACTATCACACTTGGGAACGCGACCTTTCACGCGGGGGGGGGGGGGCGAAGTTTCACCCGGTTGCATCAGTGCATTCGCCACATCGACACCGTGCCAATGGACTTGGACCCAGTTTCGATGTTGATTTCGCCCAAACCTGGTCGGACAGTTGACAGCTTGAACAGCGGTATCAACTGAACGGATTGCGCATGCGACCATTCTTGCGATAGCATTTTGTACACAGCAATGAGAACGCGACATTACGACCTAGAGCCGACCCGAGTGCCGGGGTTGCGGTGCACTCCCTGTGTGCCACCAGAAAATGATGCATTGTGGGTTGGCGAAATTTCCGAGGGTTAACCCCTGAGTCGATCTCTTCTATTCCGCGTTGCGCCACGTGATCTCGCGGGGTACCGCTCGTTCGTCGAAAACGAAGGGAACCTGGCGACGTAGGCGCAAGAGCACACCTATTGCGAACTGGAAAAAAAATGACAAATATTGGCTCACCGGAGGCGCAGCTGCAGCTCGAATCGCAGTTTTTCCACGAAGTCCTCCTGAAGAAGCAACGGTCGAAAAAATCCCAGTCGCTGCCGAAACAGGAGGGACGTATTCAGCGAGCATCATGACACCGAGGAAGGGGGCGGAGGGCCCGAGCGTGGAGTTGCAGGCACACATCACGTCACAACACCAAACATTTCGTGCGGATCGTTGCTCCTCACCACGCGAAAGCTGCATCCAGTTTGCTCCGAGGCACGCAGTCACAATGAATACCTGGCATCGCCGGCATATCAAACGGGAATTGCTGTCGGCGCCGAGGGTAGACCTCATTACCTAGACCGGCGCTAAAGCGTAGAGCACAGACAATGTCCCACACCTGGTGGATGTAGTCGTCCATCCGTTTACGATCGTCCAAACTCCGTCCAGCGCGATCAACCCTCACGCGATCCGCACCATCCTTTCCCTGGGTCAACATGGCGTCACCGCCAGTCTGCTTACTAGCGGTAAGGTTGGTCGTAGTGCCAAGCGGTACGTTTCCGAGGACGGAGGCCATGCGTTTCCTGCTTTTCGTGGCGTCTTCATCGTCGCCCGTTGGTACTTGCGGCTGTGAGTGTAGTTGTAGACGGTACAGGAGTCATCCGTTATGTACGAGCCTACTGTCGCGAGCTTCGACTCCACCCACTCACTCGGCAATGGTTTTGGAGCCAGTTCAGCGACGTGCCTGATGTGCGTAGACCATGTAATCTGTTCTTGCTCAACGCGTGCAAACGCTCGGCAATAGAAACCACATTGGCCAATGTGTGAACATTTCAGTCGCGACGCATGCCTTGGAATGCATGTTGCCAAACGTACGTTTTAAGTACTGTACAGCGCTGACGTGTCGTGCCCCGTGTCATCCATCCTGTTACTTCCCCCCACTGCTGTCAACAATATCCTCCATGCTTCTTTGCGCGGTTCCAGATCCTGATACTTGACGCCACCATGAACGTACAGTTGCTGACTCACTTGGTTCAAAGACCTAAAGAATAAAATTTTGTTGTCGAAAATTGAATAAACTGTAGTTTGTTGTGCACGGAAGAATTCGGAACATCTCCCAGATCTACGTTTGTAGTTGGGTTCTTGTTGTGCCGCTCTGGAGGCGTGTTGGTTGGTTGGGTTGTCTTGGTTTGGTTTTCTGGGGTCCTACACAGAGAATGGTCTCACGGAGTCCTCATTCTGCTGCCTCGCAGCTCCTGCAGCAAGAGTTTGATAGACGCGTGTCTACTGGACCAAAGGGCCACGTGTTGAGGAAGGCACAGTGTGTAACACGCAGCCCGCGTCGGAGGGACACGCGGCAAGGAGGGCAGCAGCTAGCTACTTCGAAGTTTGGACCTAGCTAGCAGAAATTCGTAACTTTTCTATTAATCGAGTGTCCCCAAGAACGTTGCACGAAAATATGAACCTCAGCGCCCAAATGTTGACTGCCGTGGCAAAGATGGATCAGGCTCACCTTTGTAGAAACAGCAACAACAGGCTCGGGTGCCTCGCCAACAGCCATCATCGCAAATAAACTATCCAAGCCATCATCGTCCTGGGTCCGGCACCGACAACACACGGCGAATGAGAGTACAGCATTACGACCGTCACGACTGACGGTTGTTCGAGGGGTGGTCGTATTGTTGGGGATACGGCCGCCTAAGGTATGCCAGGATCCCAACGCAACGTCCACCCCCGTCTGTGCGGGTGTAACATCCTACTCTTTGGCGAACTAGGGTAGCTGCAGCACTACATCCGTTGTAAGCATCGATGTACCAGGTACAGCACTACCTCTTGTCGACTCCTCGTCTTGCAACCTTGCTCTTGCTGCGGCGTCTGCTTCCAACGGCCATTGTCGTCAGATGGGTCGTTCTCCCCGGTCTCCATGTTGCGGATAACCTACATGTAGAATGGCGTGAACAGACATAACAGCTCTTATGACAGAACGGTGGGAGCCAACAGGGCTGGCGCCGAAAAAAGCAGGCAAGCCCATTGCATCGAACTCATTTCTCATTTACCCTGGACTTCTAGACTCTTGTCTATTTGGTACATCTACTATAGCCAAGTCTACATCCCAGAACAGGAGAACGTCAAAATCGATCGAGCCTCAGTTCCTTGTTGTGAGTCGAAGGCCCAGCTGCAGTCATCCATTTTCATGGCATGGGTTTGATGTTTTTGGGCCCTGCTGATTTTCGTATCTCTAACGAAGAATAAAACAACACAGCTCATTTTGATCCCTGTCGACAAACAACTTGTTCAATCCTTCAACAGAGGCGGCGCAAAGTGCTGTCAACCCCGTTCAGCAGACAGTATTTGGCGGTCCGCGACGTGTTGCAGTGTAACATACGTGAGTAGCGCCGCCCGCGGCGGCGCGGGGGCGCGGGGGAGCACCGCGACAATCGTAACTCTCCCACAGAGACAAACATTCCACCTAGGGGACGTGAGAAACGGAAGGAGAAGTGACACGTTTCATATTGGACACGCTCCCTCAGCGTCTTGGGGGTATCGCGCGATCCTGTTTCCTATTGAACGTTTCTTGTGTTGTTGCCAATATTGAGCTGTGTTTCTTAGCCTTACAATATTTTTTCGCGAACATTTTAACCTTTTTTCTTAACGGAATGGTTCTTAATGCGGGCCCGTACTGTATGGATCGAGATGAGTTTATTTTGAAACTATTGTATACCTGGTATAATGTAAGTGCCATATGCATACATACAAGCGTCCTCTCCGGAGTGTGCCCATGAGAGTACGGTGTCAGCAAGGGGTGATGCAAGATGAAAAGAAAAGCAGGCAGTAGGACCAACCCACAGCTGACTGCCACCTGCAGTGTGACGTACCTCAAGCTTAGCAGCTCACACAACTAACTCACGAGTTTTTTGCTCGAAGAGCCCAGCGAACCTCGACGAACCAAAGAGAACAATTGCAAATCTGTATCGAAAGTCTTTGTCTTATTATCTTATTATGCACACGATACTGTTACCTTTTGGCTTCGTGCCGAATTATGAGTCAGCCTCTAATATTGGGCGGGTTTGGTTAAGGCGTAGGCAAAGGCGTGGACAATAAACAAACCGAGGCTAACTGAAAAAAATCGAATGCCTGCCGATTGATTGGGTACTCGGGAAAGTATTACGTACAAGTACTTGTACGGGCCCCGCTCGAACGAGAGAAGGAGTCGAATATGCTGTTTGTGGTACATGGATACCGAGTTCGATCTGTGCGCTCTCTGTGGGGGACACGCGTATGCGAAGTATGGTTGTGGTCGGTGTGTATGCGGTTGGGGTCCAAGTACGCCCCCCCCGGGAGCCCCCGGGAGAGCACACGCCGGTGTGCTCCTCTCACTCGCCTGAGGGGTGAGTGCTCCATGTTGTAGTTAGTGGTGTGATACCCGCTTGCCTGTGGGGCTTGCATGCATGCCCTTTCCTTCATCTACCGATCCTGGGATAACTTAGCACCCAGTCTCAACACCAACTAACCGCCGAGGGCTGACGCACCTCGAACATAGGCTACCACCCTTGTTCAAGTATTGTGCTCAGAGAGTCTTAGCGTGCCAGAGAGAGAGAGAAAGAGAGTAGCGCAGAGACAACGAGCAAGGTGGACACATGTAGAAGGCTTCAGTTATAATAGTGATTGCCAGCCTCAGGAGTGGACAACAAGTTGAGTCTTCTCTCACCCGCCCACCAGTTGTCTTTCGAAGGCAGGGGAAAGGAGAGGACTGACTCATATCTGGTACCAGGTACAGCCAAGAAATGGTAGGGTACCATATGCATATGTTGGGGACTTTCATCCGTGTTGCAAGTCCCCACAAAAAGCATTTTTTTTTTTATTACGACAAGGTATCGATCACGCGGAGCGCCCCCACAGCGGCCGGATTCCTATGGGACAGGCCGTTATTGGGCAACAACTCCGGCCGTGGTGGCGATCCAAACAGTGGCCAACCTTCTTGAGCAACCTTAGGCATGTCTCTACGCCATAGTGCCATCAAAAAATTGGAACGGATCGTTTTTGAAGCGCGTCTAGAACATTCAAAGGTCGAATTGCGGGGGATCTTGCTGGAGAATTCCGGACAAAATTGGAGGTAGACATATCGGACGTGTTTGGGCTATATAGGCGATAGAGTGCTTCACTGGGACGACCCTCGTAGTGGCGATCCAAAAAGTGGCCAAGGCTGCAATGCTACCTATACCTATGTAATATACTCTGGCGAAGTCTCGAGCGAATTCGTCAACTCCTTCGCATGCGTCTAGCAGCGTGAAGTTTGGTGCTGACAGCTGCGAAACAGGCTTGAAGCAGCAGGTCTTTCACTTTTCATCGCGCGGCATTTGCCAGGTTCAGAGCGAAATCAGGGCAAACCAGCTATCTGCGCGTGTAGAACACAACATGTGGGAGTATCCTGCTGATTTCATAGCACGCAGCCATCTGTGTGGGGAGTACCAGCGGTTGCAAAGGTGTGCACAGATGGTGTGCACAGGGCAACACACATCATGGGGGCTCACGCGGGGTACCATCGATTTTCGCGGAACCCCTTTGTCATTTTCGTTTTGCTTTTTGTGGGACTTGCAACACGGGTGCTTTGTCATCTGAAGACAACTGCGTGCCGATTGGTTCCCTTTACCGGAGGAAAGAGCACCCACCCTCGGTTGCTCTTTGGAGGGAAGAGAGAGAACCAGAATTTATTGGGAGAGAGGCAGATGGACGATACTGTAGGATGGGAGCAGAAAGTTGTCAGCGGGAAACGTGCTCTCGGCATCTCTCTCTCTCTCTCTCTCTCTCTCTCTCTCTCTCTCTTTTCCCTCGGGCTTTCGAAAATAATAAACGTAACCGAAATACAACAACGTTTTTTAACCGGACAGCCTGCGTATGTCACGAGTATGTATGTAGCGCTGCGCGTACGCTCCGGAGGTGCGCATGGCCTGTTGTGAGAAAGTAGGGTGCAGGCACCAAAAGCCGAGACGACGGCTGGCGAACGCCTATTTCGTGACGTGGAGTCCTCCTCAGCTCTCGTACTTCTACGTGTAGGTGCTGGTGCTGCTGTACTATTGTAGACGAAACCTACGAGCTACCTGTACATATGCATACATACGTGGACTCGCCAGCACCCTCACATACATATCGCCATCCTCGCCCCATTCGTGCAGGTATCAGCTCCGGAACGATTTGCCGGGGCAAGCGTGATTCGAAATCCGCTCCTCCATCTAGTCACCGTACTGCTGCAGGCTAATGGCTTAGTCTAAACATCACTATCCGGTGTCAAATGCGCCGGACACCAACGATGGTGTTCCCTCGAATCAGAGCACTGGTGGCATGGATTCCAGTGAACTGGGGCTCGAAAATAGACAATCAAACTTATCAACGAAGTACAAGCTGTAGAGCCTTACCTATCCCCCTCAGAGCACGTTCGATGACTTCCCGCCCTCTCGCCCACGGCCTCGCGCCAAGGTGCCAAAATGCCAGGATCCTCGGTCCTCTGTCGGTGGGTCTCGTTGTCTCGTTCTGTATCTCCTCCGCACAAGCGCAGCTCCATGATTGGTTCTCTTTGGTTCTACACATTTTTACACATACCTGTATTTGGTTCTAAATATTACAGAGTGCCTGTTCCCGAAGATCGCACTCAACTCGCCGCGTTTCTCGTCCCACACCCTGCGCCGATTTATTGCTGTCCAGTATTGTGCACGTGCATACTCGCTGCGTATGCCAAATTCGTGTGAGGGATGGAGAGCGCGGAGAATCTCGCGGATATAAATCAGGTATGTGGCATATTGTCACAATAACTACCGTATGCACTTCGTAATACATTCACCGCTGTTCCCAACAAGCTGATTGGACGATAGAGGGGTTCGGCGGCTTCCGCCACTACAGTTACCCTAAAAAACTAAGAGACGCTTCCCAGTACCTACCAGATGTTTTCAGAAGTACATTATTGATTGTGTGTTTTGAACATGGGCATGGTGAAGATGGTGGTTTGTGTGACGTGCCTTTTCCGACCCGCGCGGTTCCGCACTGGGAATTGACCCACACCATGCCATCTATTCCATGTACGATTGCAACGTCGCCGCATTTCACCGATGCACACGAGACGACGTTGCTGGGGTGAACTGAGAAAGATGCAGAAGAACACAACATGAGCGCGTTGAACCCGCAGGGAAACCGAAAGACCATCTATCCACTATGTACCTGGGGGAAAAGGCAGGGCTGTGGCTACGGCTTTTCGCCGATGCGTCAACTGTGTACAGGAATAACACAACGCTTCATCCATGGATAGAGATGGAGGTCTATGGGGAGACGGCGCTGGAGAAGAATTGACAGCCAGAACAAACGCTCGACCAATCAGAGGGCGTATAAAATCGTGCATGGCAAGAGTCACTAACAGACCAAAAACTACTGCCGGAGCATACTTAGCATCATTCGACTTCGTATGTGTCTGCGGCAAGGAATGGGTTCATCTCTACACACAGTATTTTCTTCGGTCTGTTGGTTACCTCGTGTGCGCACATATCAAATCCACCAAGCCTATGTAAACTTTATCTCGACACTCGTGGATGACTGCAGACTTCGATCTGCGTGCATGAATTAATGGTTGCGTGTGCGTGCACATGAACTCCATGGAGACGTACCTTGCGTGCGCGGATGACTGCGGACTATTTCTACGATGTCACCGAGTGACTGCACTACCGTTGGACTAAGAGAGAGAAAGAGAGAGATACTGTTGGACTAAGAAAGAGAGCCAGGGAGAAAAGGATGGCGCATCACACGGAATGGGGTGACGAAGTTTGTATTCCGAGAGCAAAGATGAATCTCCTTTTGCGGAAATCCTTTGCGCGCGCTGGTGACTGCACGGAAATTTGCCGAGAATGGTTCTCAGCGAGCGACAGACTGTGAATTTCGCTTGTGCGCGGCGAAGAAATGGTTCTACGTTTGACTACGACAGAGCGAGAGAAATGCTTCCTGTTGCGCCACGGGGACGACTGTGCTGTACAGCTGGATCGATTCGCGCAAACAAAAAAAGAGATTGCGATAGCAAGAAAAAGCAGGGGGAGCACTGGGGAGAGGCAACAAAGGGCAGAATCGAAATATGTTCGTCTGCAGTGCGCGGGCCGAGCAAAGAACGAACTTCGAAATGCTGGCCTGTGGTGCACCGAGAGAGGAACATTTGCTGCAACCCTGGCAAAAACATATGATGAGTTATGTCTACTGAATCACCTAACAACTCTAAGCCATCCGCGTATTGGCGGTTGTGATGCTAGTACTCCGTAGCAGCTTGATGTCCGGGAGTGACATGTCTCGTGCTTCTTTCCGGCAAGACATTCTCCAGTCTCCCTGTGTTGGAGATCTTGGATGATGCGCTGACGTACACTGCTTCAGATACAGTCGAACCTCGGTTAAGGACACACATGTTTTGTCGTCTAAAAAGGTGACCTTTAGGCGGGGAAGTGCCCCTTAAGATTCAGGGGGGCACAACTCACCATCTCCGGGGTCAACAGAAGCGTTTAACGCGCCAAAAGATGCACCTCGGGCCCGGTTATTCGTAACACGAAAGAGAAGGTTGCAAAATAGGAGGGAAACAATTTTTCGATATTTAATCCTTGCAATACTACAATCAAGATGTTCCTATATGTTGGAGCACTCGAACCTACATGCTACTGTTGCAGAACCCTTATCGACCGCACACTAAAACTATTCCTGTTCGCTAGTCTCTTATGTCGAGGCGCAGTCCAGACATAAGCTACCCAAAACATGACGATTGGTTAAATAAGAAAAAAAACTACTTGAAGCACGACTTAGGCGAAAAATTGCCTGCCGGTCCCCCCCCCCTTTGCTCTCCGCTTGGCACAACTCTTGAAAAAAGGTGCTGGGTTTCGCTGTACTTTCCATCCTTTCCATTCGCATAAGTAGGAACAAACCTCCTCTAGGTCAGCGAGAACCTCGACCTCTATTATCGAAGATGTACATTAGTGCACGACCCTGGCCTACCCCCGCCATCTTCGTCGTAACTCGAGGTATCACCAACAACGTCAACTTGGCCAGTACGCCATGCAGTTCTCTACAACCTCCAGTTCAATAGCTACCCTTCACCCAACACGCTACGGTCGTCGGTGGCTGTCTAGCAGGTGCCGCAGCAAACCTGTCTGCTGGCTACTATTGTTCGAGATACGTCTATCTGTGCATGGCATGATCCGGAGGGGTCCGTTGAGTATAATCACCTCTTATATTGTAATTCTGCGGGGCGCGATGGCTGTAAAACAGCATTGTCCTTAACCGGGGCAGTGTCATTATACTGCTTAATTTTGTTGTCCTTGTCGGAGGTTCGACTCTACTCTTTGCCCGAGGGTGTATCGCCGGTGTACACATAGTAGTATGTCCTGTAGATATGGTCATGAAGTGCTTCATGCAGAACTACTGCTGCAGAATACGCTTTTTGATGCCGGCTCCCCTCTTTGCCGCGAGAAAGGTGGCATCCAATCGGGTGGCAGACGCTCTCGCTGCAGAGAGTTCCAGACTCTCCTTGGCAAGAATAGGAATCGATGCATTGCCTGGGGACCTCACTGCCAGCAATCGAGTGACTCACATCACCGTTCTGGATTTGAAGCACAACGCATTGCAGATGTTGCCGAGCGAGTTGTTTCTGTGCGTGACTCAGTTGGAGGAAGTCGACGCCAGCAAGGTGAGAGAAACCCATATACCTTCTCTTGCAGAAAATATTAGGTGGGCCATGGCGTCTGTGACCATTACAAATTGCCCAGCGTCGCGCCACGGTCGGCAGCGTATATCATACGCAGAATAGACGCAACCTACATGTATAAGAGACCGACACAATTGCAACCGAATGCCTGTCGCTGTTGTCTTCTGCTTCAACCTGGACATCCACAGAACCGTATCTCTTATCTTCCAGAAACAATCGGATTGGCGACCGGACTCCGAAAACTCAACCTTCAGGGAAACTGTTTGCGAGACATTCCGAACGGTCTGTGTCTCCTACAGGTCCTCGAAACGCTGGATCTCGCGCAGAATATGCTGGTGAATGTCATGCATGCGGTATAAAGACAATGCGCTAGATTCGGCCCTACTGTTGAGCGACTTGGAGCATCAATGTTATCCCACGTCCTGTCGATTTGCGTGAAAACCTCCAGCACGTTGCATCAAAATGTGAGCTCAGGACGGATTGAAGTAGGGTAGTATTGCTACGTAGTAGGAAGAAATTATGCTGTTCATTCACCCACTTATATATATGTATTATGTCTTTCACCCACTTCTACAATGTCTTCTGGTATGTGTCATCGAAAACACGAATGAATTCCGGGGTCATGTCACCTGAAGCGATCGTTTCGACGACGTATCGAGATTCTTCGCACATGTTGAACGATCTGCAGGAAAGTCTCCCAAAAGAAATCGGGGGGTTGAAGAAACTTCGGCGTTTGGATCTGGCGAATAACCGTCTCGAAGAAATTCCAGACGAGGTACGTAGGTGGCCACACATTAGAGGTTCTTGAAATGCCGCTCTATGTTATATGTTATATCACCGCCAGCTCGTCGTTGGTACTGTTTCAGCAGAGATCTCAACGCGCCTGCCGCTAAATAATCGAAATTACTGCCGGTGACGGCGCAAAGATAAGAATGGCAGACGTGGTATTCCTGCTGTAGATTCAGTCTATCTTTGGGTGGGTTGCGGGAGTGAGATTGTTCGGCAAGGCAAATTCTGCTGGTCCATGAGACTGTAATTCCAGGAGTCCTGCGAGCTAGTTCGCTAGCTTGCCGATACATTCGTATCAGGTTGTTCTCCATTCTTCTACGAAACTAGTGGTGTAGGTCCTTCATGACAAGAAGTCCTTACTTCCGATACCATGACATAACGTACCGTTTACGCAGAGAATAGACGTCTACACCTTTGGTTATCATGCTAAAGGTGTGATCACTCCGATTTAATCGCCACAATTTTCCGTGTCATCGACGTCGATCCTGAACAGAAGAACTTGATGTCTGAGGATTGTTCAACGTGAAGCATTTCTGCTGTTTAAGTCATCAATGCACATCTTCATCCTCGTGCTCAGGCAAGCTTACTGCAGGACCTGGAACACGTCGGTCTCCAAGGAAATCCCATCCAGCGAATGCCGCTGGCGATCGAACGCCTACAGACCAAGGTTGGCTAGTCTATGTTTTCCTACGCTTTCGGCATGAAGCAACATCAACGTTCATTCCAGATTCTGTTTTAAGCAACATCTGCTAGAGATTGCGTGTGAGTATTTCCGTCCCATCTATTCTGGATGCAGCCTTCACCTTTCGGTGTAAGCTTGACGCACCAGCCGAGGTCACAACGGCGAAAACTAAAAGGGACATATTTTCTACCCGCAGAAAGAGGAGATCTTCGAGCAACAGCATATGCACCGATGCACCGGTGTCGAGTACATGTATGGCATTTCTTCGTTAAAACGATTCGCTCGATCCTTTCTGAAGCTTTCTTGTCGCGAAACAAACGAAATAACCGCGGAGAGACATTTTGGTGGGATCGATGGGCTTGTTTTGCAGCTGGGTGAAGGAGGCCCCCTCTCTACGGCGGTTCCATGCGTTGACAAACATCAATATACATAGGACTGCCCTACCGCCCCCCGCCCCCCGCCCCCTACACGGTGCACCGCGGCTCGGAGCAGGGCGAACTTCTCCGGTCCAAGGCTCGGAGGCAGAAACTGGTTAGTAGAGCACTGCACGTGCGTGGGTCTGTAAGAGCCGCCTTCGCCAACGAGTGTTTTGAAGACCGAACATTGGTGTCTCCATCTTGACATCGGCCAGCCGCGCCATGTATCCATGATGCGAGAGCAGTTGAGATATTTTTCGGGATGAGAATGTCTATCAGTTACATAGCTTCCAGCTCAAGCGCCTTGCTAAAGGGCACAGAGGGGGGCAGTGGCGCCCCTCCTCCCCTTGTATTCCTTCGATACGCCGAGTGCGATGAAACTTCGCGGTACCCCAGTAGCTTTTGGCGCCTACCGTAAGAGGCGGAGAGATGGCACCGGGTGAGACCGATTTTTTTTGTTTAGTGTTTTCTTCGGGGGGGGGTTCGCACCCCGGTGCGATCTCTCCGACCGGCGACCCCCGTACGGAAATACAATTAAATCGTTTCGTTTTGGTTTTTCATGGCACCCCGGTGCGATCTCCCATGGGTACGACTTCCAATTGAATCCACTCAGCGGCGCTACTGGTACTACGGCGGCGTTGTACGCACGCGTGCCCGTGCCATCTCCCCGATCGATGCCATCTCTCCAGCTCTTTCGGTAGACGAAATTTGAAACATGCTTCCTGCGGTATCTTGAAGTAGAAAATTGGTCTTTGTCTCTGACTGCAAAGGCTATAGGGAAGAAGAGGTGTTGCATAGATATCTGCGCTGGTTTTGTTGCCACAAAGACGATGACAACAACAGCAACAAGATGCAGCGGCAGTCGTCACAAGCTCGGGTTGTCGCTTGGGCACTAATCCTCGGGTAAGTTTCTACACATACATTCGGCGAGGTAACGTATGTGGCTAAAGAATACTCTTGACGTTGTATCAGCTTGTACATAAACAAGTCCACAGTAGCATATGTACATGCAACAGTGCCCCCTTCCCACACAGCACACACCCCATCATTCCATCTTCCGGCCATCCTCTATCGCTTCCGCGACACACAGTCTGATACACAAGATGATAACCAACTCGCTTGTTGAGACTGCCTGTTGCATACATGTGGAATATCCCTGTATGGCTGCTCGACGATCGCTGTCACTAGGAAAACAGTTAGGTCCGATTTACAAAATGAATTCATCGCCAATGTATTTGGACTCTTGTCTTCGGATAAGGTCGAACTTGTTTTGTGTCTCGGTGTGCTGCTGTGCAGAAAAACGGGGCCCCTCCTGTGATGAAATATTTATTGATGTATCCTCGAAAACACATCTAAACATGTTGGCTAGCGTTGTGGTTCATATGCGGCATCCTTCGCTTCCTGGTTTGGGGTTTCGTGTGAAAACTTCCCATCGAGTGCTTGAAGGTTTGAAACTGTGTTAGGCCATTTTGCGACCAACAGTGTGAAAGAAAGGTGGATGCACCGCGACATCAAGCTGGTTGCGGTCGTTGGTCCCCAGGCAAGTCAAAGCCTTGAGTCCCATAGCAAGTGCAGTAGTAGCTCCCAAGCCTTAATGCACTCAAAATTGTATCATTGCGCTCTCTCTCTCTCTCTCTCTCTCTCTCTCTCTCTCTCTCTCTCTCTCTCTCTCTCTCTCTCATAGGCTGGAAAGAGATCGAACATCACCGGATAAGGGGAAAAGCTACATTCCCTGACATAGCACTCAATCCAACCTATATCATCATCACCGAACACGGCTGACCAGGCACGACAGACTTGCCACATGAAAGTGCAAGCCTTCAAAGTACTACGCTGGGTCTAATACGCCTCAAAGCGCAACTATTCTCTCGTGGAAGTTTGACCAGATCACCGGGCTCCGTACATATATATGCATACCGTATTCCTCCCGGAGACTTAGGTTGCGCTCTAGGCCAACGCGTTCTCAAAGCTGGCCCACAGGCAACCATCTACAAACACATCGCAAACAGCAAAACCAGTACGTGATCCCCGCCCAGCCTTGTACAACCCAGCCGATCAACGCACAGTAACCTCCACATTGTAACACGTTCATGGCGCAAGTGCCTTTGCAGCACCGCCAACGCCGTCTGTGCAACCTCCCTTGCGCGGGATTCTCCGCAAGCTCCTTCTCAACAAAATCCTGTAGAATTCTTCGGCAACACAAAAAGCAATCTATGTCGTAAACATGAAATGGGTTAGGAACATACGCGCCAGCCCTGGGTGAACGTGTGCCACGATCACTTCAAATGGGGTAGGAACGCACAGCTATTTCCAAGCACGGCTCTAGGCACCTGTATCTACCCTTGTTTTGTCACAGAGAGACGTCCACAAGCTATGCATACCACAGGTTTCCGGAGTACCTTCTGCCGAACATGTCAACGCCGGATAAACTACAAAATTGTGTACCCGGCATTCTGCGCCACCCGGCATTCTGCGCCCATCCTACACAAACAGAAATGAAACGGGTCTCCGCGCAAGGCAAAAGAGGGCGACACCGCGGCACGTGGTTCACCTCTCGTCCCTCCTCTCTGAACAAAAACACACGATCGCCTTCTTGTGAGCCATGCACCATTGCCTTGATAATACATACAAAACGAAACGAACCTAAATCTACCAAACAAACCCATCAAACGTGGAAATTACAGGATCGATGCCGCAGCAACAGTGCCCAACCTCATCAAGTCTCTGGGGCATGAGTACTCCCTGCCTCAACATCTTGAGTTGAGTAGCCCATCGTAGCAGCCGTTACCGCCGCTGCCGTTGCCGCTGCCACAGTCTTCGCCGCCGCCTCCGCCGCCGCTGCCGCCGACATTCTCAGAGACTTGAGCTCTGCTTCCAGCTCATGCACCCGCCGCACAAGCTCCTCGTTGCTCGGCGTCGTTTGTGGGTCAGGCTCGCCAGCTAGTGCGGCGCTGTCGCCTTCAATGCCCTCGTTCCTCACTGTGCTTTCCCCAACCGATGGGCTAGTCACTATGGGAGGGTTGTCGGCTTCTTCGACGCCACCCCCAACGCATTCGGCAGAGTTGTGTTCTTGGGCTGACGGGAAATAGACGCTTGCTTCCCGGCTCAAATGCGGCGGGGCATTAGAAGATGCCCCGCCTTCTCCCACGCCGTTGGCTGCTGGTGACGGTGGAGACAGGGACGATGGCGAAAGCGGTGGGCTGCACGTCTCGCTTTCGCTTGAGCTCACGTACACGTACTGTTTGGGCGATGCGTCGTGGGGAACATCGCTTCGCTCGTGCTTGGGCATCTGAGTTTGAGATGAAACAGGACGACGAGGAAAGAACGGGTTAGAGCTAGGGTAAGGGATTGTGTTACGAAACAAAAGCTGCAGCTGACAGCAGCAGCGAACACCCCAGGGTCCAAAAGGGGCACGACACGCACGGTGGTACACCCTTTCCGACCATGACCCGTACCCGCTAGCACGAAGTGGGCGTTTGAAAGCAACCCTCGACCACTGCAACAAGGTACTTTAGATTAGCCCTGTTCGTGCGCAGACAATATATTGCTCAGGATCACATCGTAGGCTGTAGATGAGATGGACAACAATGCCTGTGGAGCCCGTTCTAACCTGCACTTCCACGCCAAGACCTCTCGCACCAGCCCTCAGCAGCCACGTCGAGCTCTGTGCACCTCCAAAAGGATCGATGGTGCCACCGTGCAGGACTTGCGTGTCTTCTAGCGCCGACTTGGGCATGGAAAAACGCAAATGTCTCCACACCTATACCAAGAGCGTCAGGAGAGAGAAACGTGCAAAAAATGAAAACGACAATCGGGGAGTTTCGGTTAGGCGCGGGGGAGAACGCTTTCCCTGAAAATGAAATCACGGGCACGTCCGATCCACACTACTGACAGCACAACGTCGTGCGTCACTGCTGTACGGTGGCTGAACTCCATCAAAACTGAAGTGGATTTTATCCGCCGGGATATGCAGACATCCGATGGCAAAAATCTCTGGACGTACCTCTTCCATACCAGAGGGATCACGATGCTTGCCGAGCTCTACCGTGTACGCCCCGATTGTGAAACGACCCCTCCAGTCCCACATCGGCCACGTCCCCAATACATCCCGAAATTGTGGATCGCGCCCATCGACTGAAGCGTTGTTGTCCATTCGGCCTCTTTGGTAGCTCGACAACTGTCGCAAGAACATCACAAGTGCACATGGCGTCAGACCACAGAGAGGGTTAAAGCTCAGACGGCAAGCAGACAACATAGGACACACCCCGTTCCAACTTGGGTAAACGGTGCCCGTTTGTGCCTTGGCCAACCGGGAATCGCCATGCCGGCAGCGGTCAGATTGAAAATGGCGTCATCATTCAAGAGTACCCTCTCGCACAAGAAGAATCCTCCGGCGGCTGGGCGTTCTGCCACCACCTTCCCAGCAATAAACGGCGTGGAATGCCGGACTTCTGTGCAGAACAGGTATCCACATGCATTTTTTCCGCTCTTTGAAGGCCTCCTTTAAAACAAAACAACGTGAGAACACCACACACAGTTGTTTGTCGTAAACACGATTCGACCAATCTCAACGAGAAACCCCATCTCTGTGCACACGATCAGCAACAAGCCTAAACGCATCAGCCGACGAACCTGACTGCCTGGCGCTGGCGGCTTTGGTGCCGTGTGGGCCTCGGGCGGCGCACCCATCCCTGGATCATCGCCGTTCGACCAAGGTGGTGCGTGCTCGTACACTCGAACGTACCGCGTGGAAGCTATAGCAACGCCCACAGGTCCCACCATCATCAGCTGTGGGTGGGGGGCGTTCGCCTCCTCGTCCTCCGGTTCCGCGGGCAAAGGGCTTCCTGTCTTTGTTGGTGCTGCTCGCAAAAGGCTCTTGTCCAAAAGCTGTATTGTGGCGGCCTCCAAGGCGACCGCAAACTGCAGCAGTCGAACGAAGCCAGGCATTGTGCGTTCACGAACAACAAAGAATTAGGCCTGCCTATGGAATGTTCAGGCCCGACTTTTGGCCAGTGGTGCGATTGACACCGTGAGGCAAGGCTCCGAGTTCGTGCGTAGAGTGATCGTCAGCGTTGAAATCAACGAGTGTTTAACGGCAGGCGCTCCAATGCGTTGTATCTATGGTGTACAGCAACAGCTAATCACACACCAATCAGATGAATGCTAGCATGGTGTGCACGACACGGTTCATCTTCCAGGCTGCTTCTCGCGCGAGCAACGGTACGATGCAGTACACACCGGTCTCAATCTCCACCAACGCAATACGCAAACTATCAACAACAGCGATTCCATTCCTCCTCACCGTGCCGCGGACAATGTCCATCTTGGCGCAAGCCTCGATTTGCCGGGCAGAGGCTTCAGTCAGCGTCACAACAACACCTTGTTGCGACGATCCCCGTCCGCCTTCTTCTCGCGCCAACGACGCGCTGGAGACAAGATAGGTCACCATCGTCACCCCGGCCGCACGCATGCTCATCTCTACCGTTCCCGGCGTGTGCGTGTCCACTACCGGGATGCTGCGCTGTACACTACGAGCCTTGTCCTCGGTGCCAGGTGCGGCAGGCTCTTCGTTGGCTTGACCGCTGCGGTTGTCCGCGGAACCGGCGACCAACGAGAGAACCTGGCGGTGATGGGAGAGAAGGTGCAAGCGTCTGTTGCTCTGCGGGACGAGGGGCTTGCCTGCCCGCCACGCCTCATCTATGTCGCGGGGAATTGCACGAAGCGTTTCTCTGCTCTATCCTTTACTTTCGAAGAAGAGCAAACAGCCTCCAGCATCGTGTACAGTGTAGAACGCTCGGCCATGAAAGAGAAGCCCAAGTTTTTGAAATGGACTCTCACAACGGGACCGCCGGTAAAGAGCGCGTACTCACTAATTACGTATCCTCGTTCTCAAAAAACGATCCTCGTATAATTCATCGTAGGCCATACGTGGCGTTTAGACTTGTACTGTACCTTGACTTCGCGCTCCCCCACGTTATCGAGGGAAGTGCGCTGCGGCTTCGCGGACGCGTCGAGCGCCGCCGGGGACCCGCGGGCAGGCTTATTTCGGCGGAAGGATGACTTTGGCTTGGATGTGGCCATGTCCAGTTTTTCCTGCAAACGTCTTCGCTTTCCGATGGCACTCAGCTCCTGCTCGGCGAGGGCCACTGTGGGGTATCGAGAACCATTACAGATGAACGTAACAAGCGAGAGAGAGGCACGAGAAGTAGGGAAGAAGTCACGACAGTACACAAGGCCAAGTCAAGTCTCAGAGACAGTGAGTGGAGGCAGAGACAGAGCGAGCAAAACCCTGAAACCCTGACCCTACATAATAAACATGTACTTCGCAGTAGGTATCAGATATGGTACATATCGCTCTCTACGTATCCGTCTCGGCTACTACGTACCGTCGGACAAGCACCTGGGACGCGCGCCTCAAATGTGTAGGGAATCGACTGCGACGGGGAATGCGAGGTACGAGTCCCGGAAAGCGAGGTATAGCCTGCTACCGCCCAAGGGCTCAAGATGCCAAAGCCCTGCTTCAGAAGCAAGGGCTGAGAGCCCTTTTCGGCGCTAAACACGGATGGAGCATGATTGCCGCATTCTGCCAAGAGGAGCAAGGACAAATCGAGCGATTCAAGGTTTGGAGATATCCCATTCCTGTGTGAATGTGATTCACGATCGTAATGTACAAATGGGGGCCTTACCGTCTTCGCCGGGCGGTACGAAGATGGTCTCAATAGTCAACTCGCGAGGCTGCCGGCTCACTGCTGCTGGCGAGAAAAGGGCACAGCGGTGCTCCAGAACCTACAACCGGACAAGGACGACAGCAAGAAATCCGCGCATGAGCGGTCGGCTTTCGAACGGATCGTCAGCCAACCAGCATGCATACCTCGATGATGCAGGTCTTGTCAGCCACCAGGTGCACCGTCAATTTCGGCGAGGAAGGCATCCGCGCGACTATTATATCTAATAGTATTGTAACTCTTCTTCACGTCAAGAAACAATGAGCGACGGTACAACGGCCATGAAGAAAAACACAACTGTCATACACACGAGCCTCCTTCAACCGAAGCCTGATCGGCCAAGACCAAGCGCATCTCAGCTCGTCACATGACGGGTTTGGTTCGTCGGCCATTCTAGGAGACGCCACAGCGAGTGGCAGTATGACCCTTCTGTTGCGCCACGCCTTTTGCTGTCCAACACACACCGGGGAAACGTACAGCTGCCGTTGGAAGTGTAGCACACCATGCTACATGTCTGCGACAGATACGGGCTTCAACTTTTCCACTAAACAGCGCGCCTATTACGCCATCTCCACGCCATTTTTGCGGCGTTGGAAATATGTGTCAAGAGCATCTTACAACAAGCGACTCGGCGTTCGCAGTACCTAAGCGGTATGTTCGCGAAATACACAATATTGAAGCATCATTGAAGGAAGCTGTAACCAAGGGAGACTTCCAGCGATGCAAGCACTACCCCAGCATACGCACCTTGAGCGGAACGGACGTGAGCTGCTTGCCAGGTAGGGTCATTGTCCCCAGCTGAGTCACCCCGAAGACGCTCTTATCGAGACATGTTACGGACAGCAGGAAGCTACTGCGAGGCACAGCCTCGACCGTCTGTTGCCACCATGCAAGCCACAAGCAATGTTGAAGGTACATATGAAGGGGACAACGTAGCGGCTGCATCAGGCCAAACACAAGTTTCACCACGTACAAGTAGGGTTCCCGGCATGCTCAAGGTAGTGCGTCGAGAGTGGGCGAGTAGTGGTAGTCGGCGTTCTCAGAGAGTGGCATGAGACCTTACAGACCTTCAGAAGAATTATCTCTTGCTGTGAGAGATCATACACGGGACAAACAAGCGCAACGCCATGATTTTCATTTAGGCTTCACCGGAGATCGCGAGCTCTCCATGCTGTCAGTTCGCGAGCGATCAACGCCGGGGCTCTCCATGGGATTGGGACTGGCACTTAGACCCCGTACGCTTTCCGAGCGATGAACGCTGGGGCTCTGCATGGGACTGGCACTGAAGTCCCGCACGCTGGTAAACCTCGCATCTTTCATGCGGCCGTCCCTGCCTGGTATAGGGCTGATGTTGCTGCTGTTGTTGTTCAGCATGTCACCACAGCTGCCGCTGGTCAATGCCCTCCGGTGTCTCTTCATCCGCTCCCTACGGAGATCGTGCACGTAATCTTTGCTCAGCTCCACCTTGAGAAACGATATTAGCACGGTCACAATCAGAGCTGAAACATCGTGGTGGAAAGACCTTTGTTAATCCCAGACTTCGCGTGGCGTGCGTGTATCACAGTGGTTCCAACCTGCAAACATCAACATGAAGACAAAATTGCTGCGTGGCGCGGCATGTGTGAGGCCCATCGTTTCATACGTGTTCCCATGGTTCCTGCCATGCGCTTGTGCCGCGTATTGTTCTGTCAAGCTCAAATGTGTAACACTGTTGAAACCATATCTGATTGGTAGGGCTTGCATCCAGACGAGGTGAGAGCGTGAGAGCCTGCACCACTCACCTGCAGACGGAAAGTCTCGTGCCAACAGCAGCGCTCGTTCTTGTGATCATACTTCGCAACCTGTCAAGCACGAACCAGCACGCCCCACAGGTTGTACACGAAACAGAAAAAACATCCCAGGCGGCGCAGCACACCTCAACCATGTCAGTTGAGAACAACAATCGCGCAACATGATACACCAGCCGCAGACAAGCCCGCAGTGCCCAATTTGAGGCGATCAAGTCGTCAGCAACAAGACGAATCACAACGATATGAGGCGCCCCCGGTGTTCATGTTTGGAGAAACCCAACGAAACAACGCGAAGTACGAGAACCAAGAACAGCAACAGGGCCGCAGTTCTGGACAGCCAGAAAAAGTATCAGCTGTCCACTGCGGGCAGCAGCAAGCACCAGCAAGCACCAGAATGCGCCAGTACCAGCAGAACCATAATTCCACCACAATGCTCAGGAAAGAACCGAGCACGTGCACTTGGCAACCAGCTGTATCCGTATCCACTACAACCGGTCGTGGGCAAACCGGCCGAATCAACGGTCAGTCGCGCACTACAAAGCCTCTACCGATTGAATCGTCGCACGATACACGAGACGAACGAGGCACACCTCGGTGGAGTTAGTCTCAAGATTCATTTCCTCCAGGGTGGCACTGCTCTCTTCCAGCATCAACGTCGCGATCGCTTTTGGAGCCACGGACAGCAGACCAACCCCACCCACCCCATCCAGCTGTCCCATGCGGACCAACAGCGTTCCCACACGGTCCGCTCCATCTCCTGCTTCTTCCACCACAGTGGTTTCGGCCGCCTCGTTAGTATCGGCCTCAGACAAGCCCATGAATCCCGCTTCGCTAGCCGTGAAAGATATCGAGTCGTTGGGGGTCAGGCGGGGCGGGGCCGGTGGATCTCCGACTCCTAGGCCAAGGCGGCGCTGCTTCTCCGCGCGGGCTTGCCAGAGCTTGTCGATCCTACTCCGCCAGCCAAAGCGGAGGAATGCCATTCGCCTAGCAAACGCGCAGATCCGGTGGGGCAGCTGTGCGTCAAGCTGCAGCTGTATCGACCACAAGGCCTAGACATGCCATCCGCGACGTGGGGCAAGGACGGTGCCAGACACGGGAAGGTGAGTGATGAAACAATCTACAGCGGACCTCTTGAGACGGGTCAACGGCCAAAGGCAAATCCAACGACCGAAATACGATCGGGCAGCTGACAAGGCACGTGCACCGAATGGCACAGACGTGTCAGGTGCTAGCCAAAGAGGAGACCGCTATCGCGAATAAACCTTGGAAATTGATGAGGCTTCGAAATCGGCATCGTGGCACAGGAATGCATAACAGTGATGGAATTTGTGTCCTTACGCATGAAAGAGCGACAACGAAACCACAAATCTAAAAGCTCCCCGGGTGTTAGTCAGCGTACTGTACCTGCAGCACGGCTGGGTCAAGCTGCCCCTGCTCCGCCCGTTCCTGTATGAAAGCGTGAGCGGGCAGGAACCAGGGGGGGGGGGGGGGCAGGAAAACAAAAGTAGGCAGGGTCAAAAGGAATACGGAGGCGGCCCCATTACCCCCTGACGGAAATCAAACTGTACTGGAGCTAAAACCGATTGTTTCCAAAAAAAGGCCAAAAAAATCCCTTCTGGGGAGTTGCGGGGGTTAACTAAAAATTTTATTTTGCCCTGCAACCCATCCCCCCCGTTGCCCTT